AACTCACCTGCTTGAAAGTGCATGGGAGCCTACAGACAGGCCACCAGTGCTGTGAGCTTGTTACAGCTTTTCATTTAAGCTGGATTGTCTGGAGAGAGGAACTCCAGGGGACCGCCAAATGGTTGCACGGGCTCCTGCATTGATTTTCTCTCTATCAGCATCTAATCTTAGAGCAAGGGACTGCTTATTTAAGGCCTGAAGGTCCTGGCCAAGATCATAATCCCATTATGATTCTTTTGGTTCCCTTGGTTTCTGATTTTTTTCTCCTCTGGAGTGTAAGTTCCTGGAGGCCAATGCATCTTTATTTTCCCTGGATCACTGTTAAGCTGTGATAATTAGGAAACACTAATGAAATTTTCTGGGTTGGCCCATGTAGTCATTCTCAAGCAGTAGTGATTTTGCCTCCCAGGGGATGGACGTTTGGCAGTGTCTGGGACGTTTTGGGTTGTCATGACTAGTGGGGAGTGCTCCTGGCATCTGATGGGTAGAGGCTAGGAATGCTGCTAAATATCCTTTCATGCGTCGGACAGATCCTAACAAAGGATTATCTGGCCCCAAATGTCAGTAATGCTGAGGCTGAGAAACCCTGTAATTTAGTTGCTATCTAGATCAGATTATCTTTTCTCTAAACACACCCAGTCCAGTTTAGTTGGACAGAATGGTCCTGCTTTCTTTTCTTTAAATGAATCTCAGACACACTGGGTAGACTAAAGAGAAGCTTCTTTGAAGGAAGCTTTTATAAAACAACACGCACCTAGAATAGGAACCCAAATCAGCTGGAAGTGCTTAGAAACCCCAGGCTTCCCGTTTATCCAGAAGCTGTGAGGTGGTAAATGAAATAAATGTGAAGCACTTGGCCAGGTGCCTGGCACAAGGTAGGTGTTCAGTCAGTGTTGTCCTTTGTTGCTTGCTTGTGATGATACAATTTTGTGGTGAGTGGGTAGGTTTAACCACTGTTTGCAGAAGTGGGTTTAAGCAAGGCCTTTCAGGGGCACCTGGCTGGCTCAGTCAATGGAGCATATGACTCTTGATCTTGGGATCATGAGTTCAAGCCCCACACTGGGTGTAGAGATTACTTAAATAAATAAAGTAAAATAATAAAATAACTTAAGAAAAGCAAGACCTTTCAAAAACCTTGGAGTTTTAGAAACTGACAGAAACCCAGTGACAGCTATCTCCATGGCTGTCCTTATATCCCCTCTAGGATTTTGCTAGAACCTCCAAATTCTATCTGGGAGGCTGCCTGTGATTTTTTTTTTTTTTTTTTAAGATTATTTGTTTAGAGAGAGAGAGCGCGTGTGAGCAGGGAGAGGGGTGGAGGGAGAGGGAGAGAGAGAAGCGGACTCCCTGCTGAGCAGGGAGCCCAACCAGCGCTCCATCTCAGGACCCTGAGATCATGACCTGAGCCAAAATCAAGAGTCAGACACTTAACCCACTGAGCCACCCGGGCGCCCTTAGGCTGCCTGTGATTTTAACAATGATTGATTTGACGAACATTTATTGTTCATTGTATCTGTGCCAGGCACTGAAGTCAGTCATTGTCCCTACCTTTATGAAACTTTGTCTCCCTGGGAGGATAGACACTGAACATACAATTATGTACAGTTATTCAATTCAGTGGTCATAAATGTTGCTGAGGAGGTATATGGTATATAGGAGAGGGTATTCGAAAGGGGGAGGGGGGGACCCTGCCTAGTCTGCAAGTTCAAGGCAAACATACTTGAAGAAATATTTAGGCTTAGGTCGAATTAACCAGATGAAGAGAAAGTGGGTTGCGGTGATGGGGGAAATGCAGGGGACAAAGCAAGCACCATGTGAGACAGCCATGAGAAAGGAGCCTTCCAGAAAAAGAGAGGGTACAGTGTTGTGACACAGCAAACGACCAGGGGTTATGGGTGGCAGGCAGTGTTAGGAGGTAAGGCTGTGGACACAAAATGGACAAACTGCGTAGGGCCTGGGAAGCCATATTGAGCATTTTGGGTATTAGCTTTAGACTTATGTGAAGCAGGGTTGTGATGTGATCAGATTTGCATTTAAAAATTTGCATTTTTAAAGAGGTTTGCCAGGTCACTTAAATTTTCAAACGACTTTTAATTTCTGGAAGATAGAAATGCCAGAGGTATGTGTATGTAAAAAAAAAACACCTTTATTGAGATATAATTCACATACCATAAGATTCATCCTTTTAAAATGCACAGGTCAGTGGTGGTTAGTGTTTTCACAGGGTTGTGCAGCCATCACCACTCTAATTTCAGAACATTTTCATCACTCCGGAGAGAAACCCCGTATCCATTAGTAGACACTCTCTCTTGCCAACTACAATCTACTTCCTGTCTCTGGATCTACCTGTTGGACACTTTATGAAAGTGAAATCATATCATTTGTGGCCGTTTGTGACTGGCTTCTTTCCCTTAGCATAATGTTTTCAGAGTTCATCCATGTTGTCACATGAATCAGTACTTCACTGCTTTTGGTGGTTGAATAATCCCTATTCTGTTGTATGGATCAGTCATATCTTGTTTATCCATCAGTTGATGGGTATTTGGGTTGTTTCCACTTTTTGGTGATTACGAATAATGCTGCTGTTGGAGTTGACTTTTGTATCCTGCAGGTGGTCAGGAGGAACATGGATTTCAACCTTTATCTTTAAGAAGGAGGGCTTTCCTCCTTTTATTCTGTAGCACATTCTGTTCAGTAAGCAGTTTCTTTTCTTTTTTTTTAAGATTTTATTTATTTGAGAGAGAAAGAGAGAGAGAGAGCAGGAGCAGGGAGGAGAAGCAGGCTCCCCACTGAGCAGGGAGCCCGACATGGGGCTCCATCCCCGGACCCTGGCATCATGACCTGAGCCGCTGGCAGATGCTTAACTGACTGAGCCACCCAGGCGCCCCAGCAGTTTCTTTTCTGAAACCTTGTTTGGCTATAAAGGTTCAACCACATGTGTTAATGTCAACAAATTGAGAGAAATGCTGTTAAGAACTTGAGTTTTCCTCTTGGCACTTGAAAGCAATATTTGCAGTTAATGATGCCAAGTCTTGCTTAGTTCTGGAAGTCAGAGTCCATTGTTGTTCCAGTTGTCCATTTACAAGTGGATGCCAAGGGAATTCTTTGCTCCTCTGTTTCACTTGAATGGCTTCTTGTCCACGTTAATAGAATGTACCTGATTGCCTACTACCAAGGTGATGGCTTTCATCTTGATTAGTGATTTCAGAGAATAAAAAATAAATAAAAGTCAGAGTGGCCTCAGTATTACAGAGTTCAGAATGTGCACCAGAAGGTCATGAGTATAATAAAAAATGGTTTATGACCTGCACTGGGGCATAACTTCAGGCACAATGAATATTAAGAGTTAGTTAATGATTAAGCAAGAACATTTTCAGACCAAGGAAAAAAGTGTAGGCAGTAAATAAAAGAAGCTTCAGAGCTTATCATATAGAGTAGAAAAAAGGAAAATTGTTTTCAAGTCCAAGCAGTTTTGGTAAGTGTTTAAATGGTGAATTAACAAAAATCAGTCAACAGTTGGGAGATTTGGTATCTAGTTTGGATATAGGGTTTGTAAAAAAGATGAGTTAATCTTTGTGATTTTAATGTGCCTGTTTGCTTCTTTGTATTAGTTTCTACCTGGTTCCTTTCAATGTTAGTGTCAGGAATGTTACCCAGGATTTCATTTAACATTTAGCAAGCTTCGGCTGACTGTAAAATTGGTCCACCAGTTGTGTAAGGGGTTACATACAGGACACCTGCTGATAAGTGGTCATATTTGTGATGGGGAAGCAAGTTACTTTTGGCCAATAGACTGTTTATTGGGAAAAATTGTTTCTTAGCAGATAATGGATTAATAATAACTGGTCAACCCTACAGTTTCATCATTGTAATTAATGGCCTACTCTTATTTATCAGGCCATGTTAGAGGAATCTCATTGCTGTTATTATAGGATTCTTCTGTGTGTCTGGTACTATATTGAGGATTTGGCTGCATTATCTTGTTTAATCCTGTCAATACCCTACTAGGATAGATAGATACCAGTGACATCTCTAGTCTACGATGAATGAGCGAGGCTCAGAGATTAAGTGACTTGTCTGAGCTTACACAGGAATGGCAGAGCCGGGACTTGACTGTGGAGCTGACTCTAAAGCTGGCCTATTCTACAGTCTACCTCCCCCCTTCCCTGGTATGTTAACTCTAAATGAAAATGGAAAACATTTATTGTGGAGGATTACATTTCATCCACGGTTGAGGTTCTTGAGTTTTGTTCTCAAAAGTGCGTTCTGGTTAGAGCCTGTTCCTAAATACCTGGTTCTCCAGCATGTTATCACTTTGTCTTCTCATTGTTGCAGTGTGACCTTAAGTAACTTCTTAATCTTTCTCAAGCACATATTGCCCCTGTCTGTGAGAATGTCATATGACCTCGCTATTTCTAAAGGCCTCTATATAGCCTACAAGAAGAAAGGCAGATTAATCTGGTCACCGGAATGTTAACTTCTGCTGCTTACTCTGCCATTGATTTGTTTGGTGGTTTTGAATTAAATCACTGCATTATGTGACTGTTTCCTTATCTAAAAACAAAGTTAATAATGCTAGTTTTTGCCCTCTGATGTTGATTTTCAGTGAAGGAGAAGCCAACAGAGCTTTCCTAGATCTCAGGGTACTGGGGGTAGAGAGACTGAAATACTGGGCCAGGGCTCAGAACACCTGGACTGTGGCCTGGCTCTGCCACCTACTAACCTACGAAAGCTGCATGACTCAGAAACCTCGTCAACCTTCCCACACTCCCCCCCACGGCCCCATATGAGAATGAAGTGAGAAATTATGTATGTAGAAGTATTTTATGCTTTATAGGTCATCTAAGTATAAGAGATGATGATTATCCTCAAAGTGCCAAGTGCCATGAGATTATAATACTTGGAAATACTAGATTTGATTTAGTCCTCTGGCTTTTGTTTTTGGACTTCTTAGATGACACTTTAGTTGTGTGTTTTCACTTTTTCTTCTTCTTTTTTAGTGGTATGTGTGCAACAGAGAGAAATTATGCGAATCACTCCAGGCTGTCTTTGTTCAGAGCTACCTTGACCAAGGAACGCAGATCTTCTTAAATAACAGCATTGAGAAATCGGGCTGGCTATTTATCCAATTATATCACTCTTTCGTGTCATCCGTTTTTAGCCTGTTTATGTCTAGAACATCTATCAATGGGTAAGTGACTCTTACGTATTTTTTCCTTATCCTTAGATTTATAAAGAGAAAATGAAAGAGAAAAGTTATTTTGTTGAAGGTGTTGACTACCTCAGCTACAACACTTCTACTAGTCAGAATCTTTGGCAGTGGGTCCAGTATCTTCAGCCTTCTGCAGTTATGCTTTTTAAATTCACCACAACTTGATAAAGAACCCCGTTAGTCTGTTTTTCTACGGTGGGAGTTCTCCTTGGAGCAGTGTTTCTCAGCTTTGATGTGTACAAGAACCAACCTGGAGATCTGGTTAAAATAGAGATTGTGAGTCAGTAGGTCTGGGGCCTGAGATTCTGCATTTTTAACAAACTCCCAAGTGATGCCCATAATGCTGCTAGTTCCCTATGGTAGAGAGTAGCAGGAACTAAATCCTTAACATAAGCTGAAGAGTAAAATCTTTGCCTTAAGCACACTTCCTAGGAGCAGGTTTTTTGGGGGGATTTAATTAATCAACGCAGCAACATGTGATGGCTTATTTCAAGTGAAGGGTCCAAAATCTGTTCTTACATAAGGTCTAGGCTCACGAGAATCTTCTAAGCTTACTGTGGAAGTACCTATCTCCAGAGTGGTTCTTGCATATAAATCCATGAAAGAAACTTCAGGAATATTTTTTATCTTGCCTTGGCCAAATTTTCAAACATCCCCAAGGCCTGAGAATCTAGAATGCCAAGGAGAAAATCAGTAGGGCTCAGAGTTAAAAAGCCTTGTTGGACTGCTTAAAGCCACTGCTTAAAGCCACTTTTTTTTCCCCTTGAGGTTTGGAGCCAGCTTCTCCCGAATGTCTGGATCCCCAGTCTATCATCTGGTCATTAAATATGTTTTTAGGCACCACCAGCCATTTCTCAAGATTTCTTCCTTGATTTTCTTCATTGTTTATATGAAGTTGCCTTGTTTGCTTTAGCAAACAGTTGTTGTTTTTGTATCGGTAGTTGAGTTGATACAACTTGGTCTGACATTTTGTTTCCAAAATTGGCTGCTCTGAGGGTCTGTTCTGTACTATATTATTTTTCTTTGGAAAGCGGACAAGTCACTGTAGCAGTAATTCTTATCCTTTATGGGGTCCTTTACCTCTTTAAAAATGAAAAAAGGTAGGAGTCCTCTCTTCAAGTAGTGTTTACATTCAACATTTCACATAGAATTTTGGGAGATTTCAAACTCTGAACCACCTCTCCCCTTCACTCCTACCCCTACCCCCAGCTTCCACCCCATTGGATCCTGGTTCAAATTCCCTGATTTGGAATTTCACAGTTTGGTCAAAGACAGGCAATACATTTAATCAATCCCTTTGGGTTCCCTTATCTATGGCTCTCACCTCCCACTCTTCCAAAACATGTCTTGTCCTGGGTCCTATCTCACCTGAAAGCTTAATTTTGAGCCTGTTGGTACTTTCCATCCATGATAGATTATTACCATGAATGCCTGTCTCTTTCTGAAATAATTACAGGCATACCTCATTTTATTGCACTTCTCTTAATTGCACTTCACAGATACTGCATTTTTTTTAATTTAATTGGAACCTTGGGATAACCATGCATCACACAAGTCTATCAGTGCCATTTTTCCAGTAGCATTTGCTCATTCTGCATTTGTGTGTCATATTTTGGTGATTCTCACAATATTCAAACTTTTTCATTACTACATTATGATAATCTCTGATCAGTGATTAAGGCTTGGTGAAAACTTAGCTGATGGCTAGCATTTTTTTTTTTTTTAGCAATAAAGTATTTTTTAACTAAGGTATGTACATTTTTTTTTTTTTTAGACATAATGCAGTTGCACACTTTATAGACCACGGTATCATGTAAATGTGACTTTTATATGCACTGGGAAACCAAACAATTTGACTCGCTTTATTGTGATATTTGCTTTATTGAAGTGGTCTGGAAGTGGACTTGCAATATCTCTGAGATATCCTGTACTGTATGGTACTTTCTTGAATTAAGAAGATACTTATCAGTCTTTCTTTATATCATCAAGGGGAAGGCCAAGTCAGGAGAGACTTGATAGCTGTTTTCAGAGTTTATATTATAAGGAAAATATTGATAAGGAAGCACACCTCCTCTATAGATTCTATATCTAGAGAGAATTTAGATTGTGGCCAGAGAACCTAGGATGGTTACTAAACACTAACAGCCCCCCCCCCCCCCCCCCCCCCCCGCCCATGAACATCACTAACTTTGGAAATTAAAGACAAATTAGGGAGCCATACCTCTCCATGGTATGTGTTTGCTAGAAACTTTGTATTGAGCTAGGTGAGTGTCTTGGTATTTTGGGTGGGATACTTATTGTGTGGGACTGACCCACATATAACAGGAGATCTAGCTTTTCTGGCCTCCCTCACTAACTGATAGCATTCCCAAGCCATTGGGACTACCCCAGACTCCCCCACCTACTCCCACCTACTACCCCAGACTCCCCCACCTAGTCCCACTGCCCCCTAGAAGGCAGAGTTGGTCCTGGATGAGAAACACTGGGCTTGAGTTTTGATTTGACAGTTTTAATCTTTTTGTGGGAGCCTCTGTGGCTCAGGATCTTTGAAAATAGGACAGTGTTTCTCTCTCTGGTGCCTTTTAAATGTAGATAAGTCAGATGATCTCCTGAGCTCTGACCTCAGATGACCTCTAGCTCTAGAGTTTTAGGATTATCGCGTCAAGGTTCCTTACATCCCAAGAAGTTGGCTAGGGAAGCATGTTATTTTATAACTAGGAAAGTTTAAGCCAAATAACTGTTTTTGCAACTTGCTTTTGATCCTGTGGCAAGTCAGCACCAACTTTGGGAACATGCATCCCCTGGGCCATGCGGCCTGTACCCTCTTCCTGCTCTGACTCTGGCTTCTTTGGGAAACTTTGTCAAGCTCTTCCAGTAAGTTCAGTCTCTTTTCGCAGATTTGCTTTCTGCAGCCTATTGTTCCACTAGAAGATTAAAAAAAAAACAACTGTCTTGGAAGAAATCGCTTCTCTCTGTAAGGGATAGCATGGTGTTTAGCAGTCTCTGATGTCCATGCCCCCTAGTTTTCAGCATTTCTGTGGGGCAGAAGATTTACTGCAAACGCACTATTAGATATGGTTAAACTCTCCTAAGGCGTTAATGGGTAAAGAGGAGAGAGGGAGTTTGTTATATGAACTCTGCAGTTTTAATCTTCCCTAAAACTGGTCTTACCAGGAGCACCAGGTTGCATGCATCTTTCCAGTCACCATGTGACATGTTGTACCTTATGTTTTTTCCAGAAAGTAGCAGTACACAGTACAGGTTTCCCTGCAATTTCCCAGATCCGTGGTTTTCAAACTGTGTTCCAGGGTCTGAAGAGGAAGTGCCTCAGGAGCTGCTTCAGGCTGCAGGGAAAGGCCCAGATGTGGCAGCTTCTCCAAGGCTCTTAACCTTATTTCTGCAGCAGCTCTCCATTTACCATTCTGTGTCGTCTCTTAGCTCCACTTCATTTCAAGAAAGGGTTCTACCGCTTAAAGGGAGTTGGAGAATCCCTGCCCTGGAAAGACTAGGATTTGAGAACTAAAAAAGCAGAGCTAAGCAGGGAGTGCATTCTGCTCCCCAGCATGATGCTTCCGTGAGACTTGGTTTGAGCCACAGCTGCTGTTCCGAGAGTGCGCTCTGATCCCCATTTAACTCCTCTCCAGCTCTTTTTTTAAAGGCATTACTGTGGTTTTGAATGTTTTTTAGGATCTTAAGAAATAATAGGACCCAGACAATTGTGTAATATATAAATCGATGGAAGTATGAATCTATTTTTTAAATGCAAATTAACTGATAAAATAGGGACCACTCTTCTGCTTTTCTCTAGTGTCTCTTAAAAATCTATGATAGTGAAGCAGTTTTTTTCCTCACCCGTTGTTTAGTTTGGTAACAGCTTTTTTTTCCTGTTTGATTTTTCTGCTTAGTGTTACTGGCTAGTGCTATAGTCTGATTCTGTTGGCCTGTGACAGAAAACATTACTCTATCCATCTCTCCTTCCTAGTTTGACATAAATTCTTCACATTCACCTTTTAATTTATTACCCATTCTTCTTCCTTTCCCTTCCTCTCTCATTCGTCCTGTTTCCTTTCCACTTTTTGCTCCTCCCCCTTCCCCACTCTTTATGGGGTATTGTAATCTCAGAGCCGAATGATACCTAGAAGTATTTTCTTATTTTACTAATTTTGCTTTTAACCCTATAAATCATATAAAAGGTAATATATAATTTAACCGTATAATCACATAAAATAAACGTTTTGTAGGTTCAGGAGGCAGTTGGGGCTGAATTACTGTAGTTGCTCTGAATGTATGTGGGGGTGCTTAATTTGCATGGACTTTTCCATTTTTGTCCTTTTTTTCCAGGTTGCTAGGAAGAGGCTCAATGTTTGTGTTTTCACCAGATCAGTTTCAGAGACTGCTAAAAATTAATCCAGACTGGAAAACCCATAGACTTCTTGATTTAGGTGCTGGAGATGGAGAAGTCACAAAAATCATGAGCCCTCATTTTGAAGAAATTTATGCCACTGAGCTGTCTGAAACTATGATATGGCAGCTTCAGAAGAAGAAATACAGGTATAATTTTTAGACATGGTTTGGGGTATATTTCTTGGTTTTAGATGTATTTCTTCTTATTTAGTATATGTGTTGCCAAATCGAGCGTTTGAGGAGTATATTATTTAAAGGATATGAATCAAACAATTTTCCGTGATTAGAAATTTTTTAAAACTTTACGTATTACAGTAAAGTCGAAACAGAGAGAAATCGTCTTTCCTTGTCAGTATTATTTTGGACTAGAGGAGACGGCACTGTAGAAGGAGAAGGGCAGGTGAAGGACAACTTGTAAAGGTAGAGCAGATGTAGAGACTTTTCCCTGATTGGAAGCTTACATTCTTAAACCTGGATTTTGTTTTTGTTTTTGTTTTTCAGTGAAAAAAATTTTTTTTACTGTGGTAAACTACATAACATAGAATTTACCATTTTAGCCAGTTTTAACCACTAATTGTAGTATTAAGTACATTTATGCAGTGTAACCATCACAACCATCCATCTCTAGAACCTTTTAGTTTTTCCCACTGAAACTCTGTACCCATTAAACACTTATTCCCCAAATCACTCCCCCTCCCGTTCCCCGGCCCCTGGCAACCACCGTTCTGTGCCGTGTCTCTACGAATTTGACAATTCTGGGAACCTGAAATAGGAATTAAACATTATTTGTCCTCTTGTGACTGGCTTATTTCACTAAACATAATGTCTTCAAGGTTCATCCATGTTGTGGCATGTATCAAAATCTCCTTCCTTTTTAAGGCTGGATGATACTCCGTTGTAGGGTTATACCACACTTGGCTTATCCATTCATCTCTCAGTGGACACTTGAGTAGCCTCCACCTTTTAGCTATTGTGAATAATGCTTCTGTGAACATGAGTGTACAAATAACTGTTCAAGTCGCTGCTTTCACTTCTGGGTGTATACTCAGAAGTGGAATTGCTGGATTATATGGTAAGACTGTGTTTAATTTTTTTAGGAATTGTCATACCATTTTCCACAGCAGCTGTACCATTTTACATCCCACCAGCAGTGTACAAGTTTTTCAGTTTCTCTGCATCCTCTTCAATACTTGTTATTTATTTTTTTGGTAATAGCCATCCTGATGGCCATGAAGTGTCAAATCTTGGTTTTAAGGCCATCTCCAGGGGCGCCTGGGTGGCTCAGTTGTTAAGTGTCTCCCTTCAGCTCAGGTCATGTTCCCAGGGTCTTGGGGTCAAGCCCCGCGTCGGGCTCCCGTCAGGCTCCCTGCTCGGTGGGAAGCCTGCTTCTCCCTCTGCCACTTCCCCTGCTTGTGTTCCCTCTCTTGCTGCATCTCTCTCTTTCTTTTTTTTTTTTCTTTTTAAAGATTTTATTTATTTATTTGAGAGAGAGAGAATGAGAGAGAGCAAGCACATGAGAGGGGGGAGGGTCAGAGGGAGAAGCAGACTCCCTGCCGAGCAGGGAGCCCGATGCGGGACTCGATCCAGGGACTCCAGGATCATGACCTGAGCCGAAGGCAGTCGCTTAACCAACTGAGCCACCCAGGCGCCCTGCATCTCTCTCTTTCAAATGAATAAATAAAATCTTTTTAAAAAAATAATAAGACCATCTCTTGCTTGAAAGACTTAGGAAGAAGGTGTTCTTTATTCAGTATGGATTCTACTGAATGGGAGAAGAAGGTGCTGGGTACTGAATGTGGGAGGTGAGAATAGGGCCTGCTTCCTCCCCTGATATTTTGGAAGCCAGGCTGAGCCTTACAAAAAAGGGAAAGAAGAATTATGCACTCACTTTCCTGTCCACCTAAGTTTCTGCTCATACACACTAACCCTAGAGACTGAGCATTGGTGTAGCTCTTGGAGCAGGACTGGATTGAACTTTGGCAAAATATGGAAATTTTTAGCTTGAAGAAAAAACCAAGTCGGAAGGGGGTGGGGGGGAAGGTTACAATCAACAAATGTAATGGGGTTTTATATGGAAAGAGAGTAAGTGTTGTTTTTGGTATAATCATGCACAGCTAGCTCTCGGAAGTTGAGGTAGAGTTTAGGGACATTTACCTTCCTAACAGCTTGAGCATCCAAGTCCTTGCCACTCTCCGTGTTTAAATAGCTGTTAGGGATGCTATTATAGGAGACTTCTATCTGCGTGAAGTTGAACTCCGTGATTTGTAAGATCCCCTTTGGCTCCAGCAGTCTGTCTTAGGTTAGATCCTGGAGGGCCTGTGTGGTAATAACTGAAGTAATTTCTTCACTTAGACATTAATGCATCAGGGGCACCTCAGTGGCTCAGTCGTTAAGCGTCTGCCTTCGGCTCAGGTCATGATCCCAGGGTCCTGGGATCAAGCCCCGCATCGGGCTCCCTGCTCCCTGGGAAGCCTGCTTTTCCCTCTCGCACTCCCCCTGCTTGTGTTCCTTCTCCCACTTTGTCTCTCTCTGTCAAATAAATAAATAAAATCTTAAAAAAAAAAAAGAAAAAATTAATGTATCATTTCAAAACTTGGAATGTTTTGGCCTTCGTTTTAACAATGGCTTAAATCATGCCTAATTCCTAATCTGGTGCTCTCCTCCCACTTAAAAAAAAAAATGTTTTGAAAGTGCGAATGGGGAGGAAGGTGTTTGAAACGTCTTCATTCCCCTCCTACCCACTCCTGCCCCTTTCGTTCCTTGCTTGTCTTTGAAGCCCTTTTTGAGACTAAATGCCTGAATGGAATTATCAGTGAAACTTAGACGTTTGAATTAATAATTCATTGTATCTAGCGTTTACACGCTGTGTAACCTAGTAGTAAACTTACCTCCATATGAAAAATACTTAGTTTAATTTTTTTCCTAATGTATAGCACATATGCCAAAATCTATTCACAATTTTACCTAAATAGGAAATTCATGCTGGTTGATATTCCCTCCACCATATTATTAAGATTAAAAACATTCACAGAAGTGGTGTTTTTCGGCACAATCTGAGGTTTGGTTTTTTGGTTTTGTTTTTTTTTAACAATCTGAGATTTTAATGAGGAAGTAGTATCTTACTAAGGTTGTGGTTCATTCAACCCATGATGGCAGGGCAGACTTGTAGCTTAATACCTTGTTTTTTGGCTTGGGAGCTAGCTATTTTTTGTTTCTCTTCAATGTCTGAGTTCATGAAAAACTGATTTTTTAATAAAGGTTCTAGATATCATTTTTGAAATAATACACAGAAGACAGCCGGGTTTTTCCTCTGTGTTGCTAAGATATCATTATTTATGCCAGAAAACCCAATTGTAGAACTTAAGGATATGGCTTTGATTTTTAAAACAAAACAATAATTTTTCTTTATACTGTTGGTGTTTTGCTTTTTATTTAGAATTTATCAAAATATTGATTGCTTTGTCACTGCTGTAAAATATATTTTAAATTCTGGATGCCTGCATGGCTCAGTCGGTTAAGCATCTGCCTTCGGCTCAGATCATGATCCCGGGGCCTTGGGGTTGAGCCCCACATCAATCTTGCTAGGTGGGCTCCTTGCTTGGTGGGGAGCCTGCTTCTCCCTCTCCCTCTGCCTGCCACTCCCCCTGCTTGTGTTCTCTCTCTCTCTCTCTCTGACAAATAAATAAAATCTTTAAATATATATATAAATAAATATATATATAAAATATATGCATACATATATATAATATACATATGTATTTTAAATCCTCCTGGAAGGTAAGCTATTACTTTAACTTGTTTTCTTGAAAATAATAATTCCGGGCGCCTGGGTGGCTCAGCCGGTTAAGCGTCTGCCTTCGGCTCAGGTCATGATCCCAGGGTCCTGGGATCGAGCCCCGCATCGGTCTCCCTGCTCCGCAGGAAGCCTGCTTCTCCCTCTCCCACTCCCCCTGCTCGTGTTCCCTCTCTCACTGTGTCTCTCTCTCTCAAATAAATAAATAAAATCTTTAAAAAAAAAAAAAGAAAATAATAATTCCAAGGTTAGAAATAACCTGTTTTGCAAAAGCCAAAACAGGTTTTTGCAATTTATGAATTTAAATAGGCTGTTTGTAATACTAAGGTATTAATATACAAAGGAAAGGATTATACAGTTAATTTTTGATTGTGTGCACCGTTGAACAGTTCCACAATTCAAGTGACAGTACATAAAAAAAAAATGATTCTGTGGCAGGGAAAAATTTTGGCAGCATGTTTTCCTTTCTTGGTCTGCTTCACCAAAAGTTAGTGGCAAAATTAGTTTAGGTGATCTGAAGGGAAGTTAGTAGATGGTGGAGGAAATACAGGTGTGGGAAGATGCTGAGCTGTGAGGGGGGTGGGTTTAGAGTTAAATTCACATAGACCGTTCACACGTGGGTAATCAAAAAGGAATTGTATGTACATTTTTAACACCAGAGAACAGATCTTTAATGTAAATTTGAAAGATGCCTGACTTTAATCCATTATCTGGAGGTTTGGGATCTTTCTTGAAAAGAAAATATTGTAGTTAAGAATTCTGTTTCTCATGTTAACATCCTCTTTATTTTCTCTTTTTAATGAAAAGATGTTGGAGACTGCTCTTCACTCTCGACCCACCACCCTGATGGCATTCATTCACAGACCCATTGTCAGGCTCTTTCTCACCTTATCTGGGGAGAGCGGGTTCATTGACCTGAAGAGCGCATGCACTAGGAGAGTTTCCCAGTTGTCAGTTTTACTCTGCGGGTGACTTGCAGTGTGATTTGGACAAGTCACTTCTTCCACTGTTCTCATGAGGAAGTCTTCACCATGTGTCTTATTCCTGGGCTAACATGCAGTTTGAGTGGAGCCAATACATTTGTCTTCATTGGTGGAACTGAGTTTATAAGTGAAAAATCACCAAACAGAAGTAAAGATGAAGTTGGGCTTCTAAACATGTAGCTGTCACTGTCCCTGTGTTAAAGCCTTAATTTTCTGTTAGGAGCATGTCTTTCTTTCAAAATCTGCAGGTAATTCAGAGATGGATTTTGTGAGATTATTCTAGATTAAAACATGATGATAATGCTTGGCTTCTGCTTCCTTATAGATGGGCCTAAGACTTTTTGTTTTGTTTTAAATCAAGTATATAATTTGTTTTTGCAATTTATGAATTTAAATAGGCTGTTTGACTAAGGTATTAATATACGAATAGTCCTTTTTAATGGTTCATCTCGGTTTTTAAAATGGGAATTGAGGGGCGCCTGGGTGGCTCCGTTGGTTAAGTGACTGCCTTCAGATCAGGTCATGATCCTGGGGTCCTGGGATTGAGCCCCGCATCGGGCTCCTTGCTCAGCCAGGAGCCTGTTTCTCCCTCTCCTGCTCCCCCCTGCTTATGTTCTCTCTGTCTCTGTCAAATAAATAAAAATCTTTAAATAAATAATAAAAAATAAAATGGGAATTGATAGTATTTGTATGCCAAAAGTAGGATCTTTATAGTTTGAATGAGCTACATCTAGTTTCTAAAATCATCACTGCATGGGGTGCCTGGGTGGCTCAGATGTTAGGCGTCTGCCTTTGGCTCTGGTCATGATCCCAGGGTTCTGGGATCGAGCCCTGCATGGAGTTCCCTGCTCAGCGGGAGGCCTGCTTCTCCCTCTCCCTCTGCCCCTGTTTGTGTTCCTTCTCTCATTGTGTCTCTCTCTGTCAAATAAATAAGATCTTTAAAAAAAATAAATAAATAAAATCATCATTGCAGTTACAAGTTCAGTACAACAAAGTGAGTTTGGAGCCCTAATGCCCCACTTAATTCAAGCAACAAGGGAACCTGACTAGTCCCTTGAAGTTCGTTAGAGTGTTGTTTTGGAGGAGGCTTTGGTTATTTAAAAAAAAAAAAAAAATCTAGGGGTGCCTGGGTGGCTCAGTTGGTTAAGCGTCTGCCTTTGGCTCAGGTCATGATCCCAGTGTCCTGGGATCGAGCCCCGCATCAGGCTCCTTGCTCGGTGGGGAGCCTGCTTCTCCCTCTCCCTCTACCTGCTCCTCTGCCTGCTTGTGCTCTCTCTCTGTCAAATAAATACATAGAATCTTAAAAAAAAAAAATCTAGACTGAAAAGAAGATGCAGCTGAGTGGTTTGTGCTCCTTTTATTCTACTATTCGAAAATGCTCTCAAATATCACTATGCTAATGAGTTTTCTAAAACAGCCCTCATTATACTTTTTGAATTTTCTAAGATAATTGTGCTGTATCTGCTTAGCATTATCAGAGACTTGTTTACCAAAGATTCTCTCTCCTGTTTCCTTCCCCCTCCCCCTCATCGTAACATGCCTCACATGCCACATTCTGATTGTCATAACCAAGCAGGAGTGAGTAATGTACAGAATTGCCTTAATCGTGTGGCTAACAAAGACTCTTGATAAGAGAATTCCTTCTCTCGGTGGATAAAACATTGTAAAGGACTTAGAAATGTTCTGAGAGAGAGAGGGAGGGTGAGATCGAGAGACTGAGGGCTGAGAGTGGTGTGTTAACTGTGCTCTTCCCTTACATGTAAGTTTTAATAGGATGTCCTGTGCTTTATCATTTTCTATATAGTTATTCAGATATGAAGATTCTAAGTCTGAGATGGCATCTGTCTCCTGGGAACAGAGATGTGCTCAAAAGGCCATAGGTTGTAAATGGAAATTATCTTATACCACCCCCAGCCATTCTTAAAAATAGGAGGGACCCCAGGAATAGAAAACATGAATATCTGATGTATTTTATGGTTAAATTCCAATGGATGTAGAAAGTAGGGTTTTTTGTTCGTTTGATGTTCAAGAATTTGATGGCCTATTTCAAAAGATTTATTTATCCATTTTAGAAAGAGAGGGAGGGTGGGGGGGAGGGGAGAGGCAGAGGGAGAGAATCCTTCAAGCAGATCCCCCTACCCTGTGGCTGAGCACAGAGCCTGATGTAGAGCTCGATCCTATGACCCATCAGATCACGACTCGTGATCATGGCTCATGAGATCACGACCTGAGCCAAAACCAAGAGTTTGATGCTCGACTGACTGAGCCACCCAGGCATCCCTACTAACCTTGATTTCTAAGCTTAGAATTACTAACTCACAGTTCCCTGGATCTCAGCAACTAGTTGAGTTACTAAAAGAAAAGGTGACTTCTTGTATTTTGCTTAAAGTTCAAAAGAGGTAGTTTTAAATGAATGAAATGTTTTTAGGTAAAAAAAAAGGAATTTGGTGGCCTAGCTATAACCATTTTTATCACTTTATATCTTCATATGGTATTAAACATGATTAGTTCTTTTAAAGGAAGTATATATTTTTAGATTTGGAAATAGGTGAAATGCTAAATTTAAAGGAATAGGGTTGCTGTTTTTCTTTGCCTGGCCATTTTATTACTGCAAATATAAATGATAAGTGAATGATCTTGCATTTACTTTGATTTAGAAGATAAAGTTAGAGCCTCTACTGGCATGTCAGTTATTCTTAAAGATGTCTTTAAGCGGGTTTGTATCAATCAGGTTCTTTCTGATGTTTTCAGAGTGCTTGGTATAAACGAATGGCAGAATACAGGGTTCCAGTATGATGTCATCAGCTGCTTGAATTTGCTGGACCGCTGTGATCAGCCCCTGACTTTGTTAAAAGATATCAGAAGTGTCTTGGAGCCAACTAGAGGCAGGGTCATCCTCGCCCTGGTTTTACCCTTTCATCCCTATGTGGAAAACGGTAAGTGTGGTCAGGTCGCCTCTTACCCAGCATAGAGATTTATTAGTGTTTGTGATTCTGTTTTCCTAGAATAGCCTAGAATTTAAAGGAATATGGTTAACTCATGTAAAATATCACCTTGGTTAGTGCTCATCTTAATGCGGATTTTGTAGAATTCTGGTACTCCCTTTGCAGTGGTAATAGTGAGTACTCAGCTGGGTCTGCCCGCTTGAAATTGAAAACCTGAAATGTGTCCATATTTTCTGCTCTGAAATCGAGCCTAAACCATTTGTTTATTAGCTTATAAGCTGAGTCAAGAACAAAGTGATGCCTTTTAATTTACCTGTATATATTGCTGAATGTCATAGCTGATTTGTACGTTACATCTCTTGTTCCAGACTCTCAAAATGATAAATGCTGTTATCTTTTTTACCCTTCTGAAGACCATTTGTGTTCCAGCATGTATCATTTCTTTGTGTGACATTTGGTTTTGTGATTGCATAGTCTTGCTCTTCAGTAATACTGAATGAAGAATATATTAAAAGAAATAGTTTGATTTCATAGGACTTCATATTTACTGTGACCTGGTTGTAGCCACATTAACTCATGGTTTTAGCTAACACGGTTTGCATTTCAGGTCATGTTGAAAGTTTCAGCTTTAAGCGTCTCCTTTGCATTTTCATAAGTTAATGTGCAGTAATACAAAAATTATTTATTATGTAAGTAATACATGTTAATATTTTAAAATCTTTAGTTTTCCCATTTTACTGCCTAGTTCAGCCTTGGATTCAAAAGCTCCAAGAGCTTGCAGACATTTTTAAGAAATCCATTACTATTTTGCAAGTGTTGTAGTTATCAAATGTCTGTGAAAATCTGTCTTAGGGAATTAATAATGAAATCCAATGTAAATCATTGCCACTCACTTGTTCCTTCATTTCTTTTTCTCCTTATTTCCCCCCCTCAGGTCATAGTCCGTTCAGATTAAATGCTTGCTTTAACATTGGCCAAATGATTTTAGATTTATGTTGATGATGGGGGAAATGGAGAATTCTTTAGATATAGGAGAGTGGGAAAGAGTGCAGGTAGACCTGATAGTCCCTCCCCCATCTGACTTCTCCATTTTTACATTCCTGGTGTAGGATCACTTGTCATGGTAAAGAAAACATCCTTTAAGAGAGTGTGTGTGTGTGTGTGTGTGTGTGTGTGTGTGTACACTACAGTGAAAACCCTAGTAAATGTCCTTGATCAGCACGGGAGTTTTGACCTGCTCCGTTTCTGACCTGGGCCGGTTCACCCCTCCTTAGGCAACCTGGTGGTCCCCCGCTCCCGGGAGGTCACCATATTGATGCCGAACTTAGTGCGGACACCCAATCGGCATAGCGCACTACAGCCCAGAACTCCTGGGCTCACGCGATCCTCCTGCCCCAGCCTCCCGAGTAGCTGGGACTACAGGCACGTGCCACCACGCCCGGCGTAAATGTCCTTGATAATTCAGCAACCTGACCTTTTTTCAGTGCTGTTCACTGTGTAATTAAGTCTCCGCTCCGTCTCTGTATTGCAATCACTAGTCCTCAGGTTGTAAGGTCCCAGTTTCCTGTGTCCTATTGGGCAACCACATGATAGAATTTGAGTGCTATTTCCTGGCATAGCAGGAGGTGGAAGAGCAGGGGAAGAAACATCAATCTAACCATGAATTTTATTTCCTTGTGTTGCTCACACTAAAAATTGAGAGGAAATCCAACTGGACAAGGCCTGAAAACAAGCTCCTTGATCGTGGGCACATAGCGCAGAGTTGCCTGTTGAGTCCAAGGAGTCTGACACGTGACACATAGCAAACCTGAGACAAGAAGCTTTGTTGCTGTGGGTGACCTTTAGTGACCTATACATTTTGCAGATTGCTCCACAGCACTCTATTATTGCTTCCTTTCTCTAAGTCACTAATTAGATCCTGATGATTTCCATGTGACACGGTGTGAGGACTGTGAACTGCATAGTGACCTTGCCGTGTGAGTTCATAAATACTGGGCTGTTTTAAGAATATAGGAGTATGCTTGGCCTGCCTGCTTGGCTCAGTCTAGTTTTTAACAAAAAGCAATTGTAGATGAAATGATTTTTTTATAATTCTTGGATTTGTCTTTAAATCAAACCACAGCAATTTTGTTACTTAGGTTAAGTTGGAAAAAAATGTAAAATGTGTTCTTTCTAATTTCAATTTCAGTTTATTTGGTTTACTGACCCAGTTTTGGTTAGGGGTCATTAAATGTTTAATTTTTTTAAAACTAATTTTTATAAAAAATGCAGTTCACGGTAAAAAGAGTTCAAGCTGCTAGCAGGAGGGTATACATGAAAATTTTCTCATCCATTCCAGTTCCACAGTCTTGTTCAGGTCTCTTGAATATTCTTCTTAAGATAGTCTATGCAAATATAATTCTGTGTGCACGTGAAAAGAATGATTATATAGTTAAATCCCATTGTAAATCCTTTGGTTGCCTTTTTCCACTTAAGTGTATCTAGAAAATTTTCCTTATCAGCTCATATGTACCTACATCATCACCTGGATATAAGCAGTGGTATGCTGGAGCTGGTTTTACTGGCTCATGAGAGCTGATTATTATATTGTCGTGAAGTTAGTGAACTGGTCATTGAACATGACTGTTCTTGAAACTGACCATTGTATGGTCAGTGGTGGGAGCACTTAAATCTTGGAAATTGGCAAACACTACAATAGCCTCTCCCCTCTCCAAGGTGGTTGGTAAACATTTACCAGCACCCCACTGGATGTATAACTTTACTTGATGAAGCCCCTGTTCATGTACTTTTAGGTATCACCAGTTTGCTTTATAAATAATAGTGAAATGAACAGTCTTAGGCAGGTCTTTGCACATGTGTAAGTATGTTTTAGGTTGCTTTCTGCTTTAAGAAACAGAAGGAGCTGGGTGCTGGGTGGCCGGCCAACACTTGGTTTCGGCTCATGTTGGGCTCCTACCAGTGTGGAGTCTGCCTAAGACTCTCTCCCTCTCTCTCTGCCCCCGTGCACCGCCCCCCCCCCCCCCCCCCCGTGCTCTCTCGCTCACTCTCTCTCTCTCACACACACACAAATAAATCTTAAAAAAGAAACAAGGAACAACCAAAAGTTGCTTTTAAAAATTAAGAGTTTATTTTAGGATAGCGATTCTATGGTTGGGTTAATTCTGTTATACAGCTGTTCTGTTGAAGTTCAGAGCTTGCTTTCTTTTCTCCATCTTCAGTGTATTGGCATTCCTCTTAGAATTACAAAATAGCTAATGTAGTGCCAGATGTCATGTGTAGGCATGACAAAATCTTGAAAAGAGAGGGGGCAGAAGGGTGGCTCAGTCAGTTAAGCATCTGACTCTTGATTTCCACTCAGGTCATGATCTCAAGGTTGGAGCCCCACGTCGGGCTCTGCGCTGTGTGTGGAGCCTGCTTAAGATTCTCTCTTTCCCATTCCCTCTGTGCCCCCCTAACCCCCCCGCCCCCGGAAAAAAAATCTTGAAAAGAGAGGACGATTCTTCCCCAAACATCATTTTTTTTTTTCATTAGTGAGGGAAACCTTCCCCAGAAATCTCCCCATCACTTTAGGGCCCATTGTCAAGGATAGGGGCACATGTTCCTACCCAGCCAGCAACTGGTGAGGGGTCTGGGATAGTCATGGTGCACTCTCTGGGTCTGGAGGGAGCCCTCTGCCCTGAGCATATTTACACTGTTGGGCTGGGCTTGCAATGAATGTGGAAGGGAATTGGTACTCTTATGCGACGGATTATCTTCATTCATTTAAAAAAGTATTTACTGAGTGCCTAGGTGCTGGAGATAGAGCAAGTGGAAAACACGCAGATAGTCTTGCCCTCATGGAGCTTATTTCTAGTGAGGAAGACAGGAAACAAATGGCATGCTGTTGGTGATAAATGTTACAGAGAAAATGAACTATAAAAGCAAGAAAGGGGCATCTGGAATTGGGGGTTGGGTTTGGGTGCTGTAATTTTATTTTTATTTTTTATTTATTTTTTAAAGATTTTATTATTTGAGACAGAGCAAACGAGAGAGAGCACAAGCTCTCTGTCAAATACATAAAATCTTAAAAAATATATAAAAACAAACACCTGAAGGAAGTTAGGTCTAAGGTTATCTGTGTGATCCATTTCTAGAGGTGGAAGTGCTTGTGAAAGACAGTTTTCCAGATAGCTAGCCTGGGATCTTAACCCTGTTTATGGAATAATCATCTTTTCCGCAGTGCTTTGAAATGCTACCTTTATCATATACTGAAGTCCCGAATGGGTTTGGTTTTATTAAGATTCACCCTCCGGTGTGTGCCAATACCAAACTGTTTTCATTACTGTAACTTAGCATACATTTTCATGTCAGAGCACCAGCCCCCTTCTCACAGTTCCTTTGCAGATTTTTGTTGGCTTATTTTATTTAACAGATCAACTGTAGCACTGGTTTAGCACTAGTTAATTTATAGATTAATTTAGGGAATATTGAGTCTTCCTAGCTAACAATAGGATGTGCCTTTCATTTTATTCAATTCTTTATCTTTAGTAACAAAATTTTCTTCATAAAGGTCCTACACAGTTTTTTTTGGATTTATTCTAATGGTGTGTTTGTGGGTGGGATATTGTTAAATAGAAAATTTTCTTCTATCATTTTTTTAACTTTCAAACTTTTTCCCAGCTTTTGGGAAATTGACAAAAATTATATGTATTTAAGGTGCACAGCGTGATGATTAATGTACGTATACGTTGTGAAGTTATTACTACAGTCTAATGAATGCATCCACCTCACATAGTTACTCTTTTTTGTGTGTGATATAACACTTAAGTAAGATCTATTCTTTTAATAAACTTCAGGTATACAGTATAGTATTATTAAATGTAGTCATCATACTGTACATTAGATCCCCAGAACTTATTCGTCACTGGAAGTTTGTGCCCTTTGACCAATGTCTCCCTATTTTCCCCACTGTCCAGCCCCAGGCAGTCACCACTCTACGGTCTGGTTCTACGAGTTTGACTTGTTTAGATTCCACCTATGAGTGAGATCATGGAGTGTTTATCTTTCTATGTCTGGCTTGTTTCACTTAGCATAATGTCCTCCAGTTTCATCCATGTTGTTGCAGACGGCTCTTTCATCATATTTTAGAATGAATGGTAGGTGTACATACCCAAGCAATTGATTTTGTGAGTATATACTAATTTTGTAATCATTTATATTTTTAAATTGTTTTATTGTCTCCAGTAGCTTCTGTATTGATTCTCTTGTGTTTCCTTGATCTGCAAATGGTTTTGCTACTTACTTTTCATATTTAAACTTTTTTTGCCCATGTGAATTGGTAGTTAATTCCAGGAAATGTTTTTAAAAATGGTAGGCATTTTTGTCCTGTTTTTTACTTTAATGAGAATATTTCTACTTTAAATATGATGCTGTCTTTTGGCTTGAGATTGCTGTTGTTTGGCTTGAAATACATATTCTTTTAAATCTTGTTTCATTAAGAGCTTACAAAGTCAGGAATCGCTGTTGAACTTTGTTACCTGTATATTCAATATCTGTGGAGATAGTCATTCTGTTTTTTCTCCTTTGACTTGTTAAATTAATAGTACTTGTATACTGTGTATCCACCCTTGCATTTCTGGGCTTAGATGGGATAGTCTTCTTGTAACGCATTGCTAGAGTGTATTTACAAAAATTCTGAATAAATGTATTAGCAAGATATTAATGAATAATAATTGATTTATATCTGATCTTTATTTGGAGGATGTTATCTTTGTCATGTTTTGGTATCAGTGTTCTGCTGGCTTTGTAAAAAATAATTTGGAATTTTTTTCTCCATGCGCTGGAACAATTTAAATTGCATGTGGCTCTCTGTTCTTGGAAAGTTTGGTAGAATTCACCTGGGAAACCAGCGAGACCTGTGCCTGTTGAGAGGTAGACTTTGGCAACTTCCTTACTTTGTTCTAGGGTCATTGTTCTGGTTAAATTAGGCATATTAAGTCTTAAAACTCCCGTAAGTCTAAATAGAAATAAGCAAGACTCTGATAGGACTATTGCATGGAAAGAGCTTGGGCTTTGAGGGCTGGCCCTGTTTGAAACGTGGGCCTCTTGTTAAGGTTAGTGTTTCATCTCTAAGAGTGGGGCTAATCCTTACCTCAAGGTTTGTCCTGAGTATTAAAGAATCTAATGTATAGGAGAGTGCCCTACCGTGTCTGTCTCAGTGTTGATATTTAATACGTGTTAGATATAGGTCATCCCATTCTGTCCTGTTACTTCGTTTTTGTTTGTGGCTTTATTGATCCTATTTGTTCACAGTCCTTCAGTTTGAAATATTTCTCAGTGTCCTTCAGGTCTGTTTGAGACTTCACTCTTTTCACAGTAATCATCATAATTTGATGACTTCATTAGGCATCGCAACTTTGTCTCCAAACGTACACTCTCCATTGGTTTATGTGACTTGACCCCCCCAGAATCTTCACCCTGTACCTGTGAGCCAGGGGTCTCCGATTCACTCGGGTCTTATGTAGCAGAGAAAAAGAAATTACTTATTCTGAAAATCCTGCTAACATCTTTCGGTATATGGTTTAAGTGCTCTTGTCTAGAGGGTAGGGTGTGAAGACACTAGAACCACGTCTTTGTTGTTTCCCTCTTGTTGGGAGTAGTTTCAGTATTATTCTCTTCTCATTGTCATGGGAAACTCTAATTTAAACAGAAAGCTATAGCTTAATTTTTTCCAGTGAAAATTCTGGATGCTCAGCTAGTAGGGAAATTAATACTGCCAGGGATTCTGCTTACAGTGAGGGGTGAGGGTCGATGGCTAGGGAGTGAAGTGTGCTTCAGATCTCAGTTGACATGCTGAAAAAATATTTTTCTATAGAAACAGTGTTCATTTGTATTCATATAAATGCATTGGAGTGCCTAGTTTTGACCAGGCAAAGCTAGGCAGTGGAAATACAAAGATAATGACAAACCTGCTTCTAGTCTTAAGATATTTAGAGAATCATACAGAAGATAGATGTAAGCAGACAATGGCAGGATAGTCTGATAAGAAATATGACAAAGTACTATGGGTTTCGAGAATGAAAGACCCATTAACTGCTAGGAGGTTATGGAAGGTTTCATGTAGGAGGTGACAGTTGAGCTATGTTTGTACCTGAGAAGCATTTTACCAGGCAGAGGGAACAGCATATGCAAAAGCATGAAGAGTGTGAACAAGGTGGGATTAGGGAAGGACAAGGTCATTGTGGCCCAAGGGTGGCATGAAAGAAAGGCCCTTGACTGGATAATAGTCTAGTACCCCGTAGATGTTGTTGGCTAGATGGATGAATAAAAGAATGAATATTAATATATACATCAATAACTGATATATATGATGTAAGGGAATGTAACTACTTTCCCAAAGGAGAGTATATCCCAATTTCAGCTTGAACAGCAATCTTGGAAACACAGTCCTTGTTGCATTGGGTAAGGCTTATTCTAAATCAAATACTAATTTATCTTAGGGATTTTGTCTGCTAGTTAAGTTACACAAAGAACAGTGTATTTTCAGCCTTGGGAGTACCAAAATGTAATGACTCCCAGAAATGAAAAGTAAATGATCTCATCTAACACATTCTATTTACCTGGATAGTTAGTGCTTACCCTTTTTTTGCTGTCTAGCTTAGAAATTCATTTATTTCATCCAAGCCAGCAGTCTCGAAGTAGGGCCATACACCCAGGAGAACACAAGACCGTTTATTTTGGGTTATAGGAAGAAAACATTAACATTTCTATGTCTATGACTTTTTATGCCAGTTGTTTAGTTTACACACATACATGTACACACACACTATGCCCAGCACACACAAATGCACAGCATAGGCGCTCACACACGTGTGTACACAAACACACGCTCCCCCCTCTCTCCTCTTGCCATTTTTTCCTGGAACATGTGATAACACGTGTTGGAGACCACTGATTCAGGTCATCATTGCAAAACATTTTCATAGAGATCTTTAAAAATTTTAAAATTCTGGGTTTTAAAAACAGAATTCCCCTCATTTAATACCATTTTAAAAGAAACACTTTAATGAAATAAAAATAGGTTATAATTCATTTTTAATAACGAATGCACACTTGTGGGTACTTTAAATAGATTTTTACAATGAGGTAGCTTTCAAAGAACAATGCATACTATGTTTTCTCAGTGACATAGTAATGATTCCATAAACATCTTTGCTGGACCCCACCCCTTATCTGATACTCCCCTCCTAAATCAGTTAAAAATCAATATTGCAAAGGCACAGGCAAGCACGTGTCTTGCGCACTGCTTCCCTGGTGCTGTTATTTGGCCCAACAGTGACATCTAGAGTTGGCTGAGGCTTCTGTGTTCTGAGGTTCTGAGGTTTTCTGTTTAACCTCCCGTGTCGGAGCTTCTATATTTTAGCTATCATATTCTTAACTCTATTTTCACTTTTTGTTGGGAGCATGATGTAAGTCATTTTGCATATGCAGGCAGGAAAATGTGCACTCTACTGTTACCCAGTGGCAATACCAGGAGAACGGTGTTTGCTCCAAGGTACTTTGCAAGATGGTTTTTCTTTTCTTTTTCCCCCCCTTTTTTTTTTTAAACTCAAATTTTGGCGCTTCCCTTCCTTTTTCCCCTCCCTCCCATCTTAGTCTCATTGGCCCATCACTTCCACAACCATAAAGACAATTCTTCCACTCAAGACAGAAGCAGACAGAAGCATGGGGTGTGACTTCTAATCTTCAGGGTAGGAGTCCTCACATACCTCGTATGTCAAATGACACAAATATAGGATATATGTTAGGAAAACGGAAATTTTTTAAATGTTAGACTACTCAGAATTCTCCTGGCAAGTTAGAAAGTATTTTCCAGTTGTATTTTGTAGGATTTTAGTATTTTGGGTAATTACTTTTAGTGATAGTTTCCTTGTAGTGTGGCATCCTTCTTTGTGGAGAATTGTCTTTTCCATTTACCTTTGATTGGTTTTTTAAAGCCCTGATGGGCGTATGTCCGATAACACTGCCATAACTTCTGGATTTGGACTTTCAGTGACTTAATTGAAAATTAAAACATCTCTATGATCTTTCATAGTTGGAAAGTGCTCTTCTATTTTCATTAAATGTTGCCTTTCTCCTGCAAGAGTAAATAACAAGCCATATTTAAGGTTGTATAACCGATGATGTCCCACTGCAAGCAACATTTAAACTAGTATGCCCTCCTGTGCCCTCTTGCATTCTGTGTCCCAAGTAGCCTCCAGTAATCTTAAAGGCCCAGTTACTATTCTTCCTATATTTAGAGTAAGACGTGGAACTGAAAATTAATTTTCTTTTCTTTTCTTTTTTTTTTTTTAGCATTTTTTCATTCTTTATTATATTTTATTAAATATATTAAGATTCCCTTCAATTGCATTTTTGTTGTCCATATTGTTGTAGAAGCAACAGGATTATTTGGCCTGTAGTGTTTTCCAGTCTGGGATTTGCTGACCGGAAATTTGAGATTTTGAGATGCTGTTGGGAGAGTCCTGGTTTACATAACAGTACTTACTTCTAGACTTGTCTTCAGGACACTTATCATTGTCTGTTTGCAGAAAAAGATGCTCCGGCCTCAGTAAGGAAAGAGTGAACAGGCATTCATAATTATTCAGAGTAATATCTTAGGTGATTAGACCATTTCTTTATGTATTTGTATACACACTGAAGTATGAAATGACTACTTAGACCACACTCCCTCCTGGATGAAAATCCTTTTTAAAAGTTGTATTAAAAAAAAACACACAACACCTCATATCAGACCCTTGTTACATTTGCCCTCTTTGCAGCTGTTTAAGAAAAAAAATGCTTAGTTGTGTATAAATTCATTATATTATAGTATACATTTTAATTTAAATCTGAGCCACCTGATTGTGCACCCTGGAAACTGAGTATCTGTTCCACTAGCACTAAAACAGCATCTTGTTTGAAAAACCTGTTATAGAGGACTTTAAAGAGACACTGTCAGATATCTCACAGATGATATGAATGCATTCTTCCTGCCACTCTAACCGCAGACTGAAGAAATACTTGATTTTTATTTTCATTAGCTCCCTTTTTCTAATGTGAATTTATTTCTGCCTTGTTAGCAATAAGTGATGTTTTCTGTATAATTTGACCCACAGTTGTTTGCAGCATTTACTTACTGCCCGCTACTGCATGCATGCAAGGATCTTTTAATCCACAAAAGCATCCTTGTCTGAATTGAAAACATTGCCTATACCCAGTGTGTTTCTGACAGATTCCATGTCACTAAGATGTCAACCTGGTCTCTATTTAATATTGTATCAGATGTCCTTTGTTATGTATTTATCAAAACAGGTTCTATATAAAAATGTATTCTATGTGAAAGTCCTCTTTCATATTCCTCTATAGGAAAACATGATTATTGATGGCTTGTTGGTGGCTTAGCTTTTTCACACATGCTTTGTATCTGCATTACATCTCTTTGATATTTTACACTCACAGGTTGTTGTCTTGTTTCCACCTGTCTCTTACTGTATAGTTCCTGAGCAATTTCCTGAAAAATACGTCGGGCACTCCTCTTCTGTAAACACAAATGAGAAAAAATTCCTGTTTCTCTTAGGACTAGAAGAGATGATTATTGCACATCATCTTAGCTTTGTCTTTCTTTACTGCCACCAGTCAGAACCACTACCGCCCCCCCCCACACACACACCCCCAACCCCCAGCACATCTACACTGACCATTAACTCTTGTATTTTGAGTATGTTAGGTAGGGTTTATGGTTGAGAATGATCACATTTAAATCATAGTTTACCACTTGAGATTATCCTTGAGTTCTCAGTAATAAGAAATGGTTTCTGTCGTTGAAAGTTACCATGATATTCTCTGTAATTTTTTCATTATTTGGGGTTTGAAATAATTACAACCAGCCACCATTTGAAAGGTATTTTACAAGCGTTGGTTTGTACCTTTTGTGAATCTTTTGTTTCTTTGTTTCTTAAAGAGTTAGATTTTGACTGTAAAGAAGAAAAGGAAAGTCTTATGAGACATTTTATGCACTCAAAACAGTTGTGGCAGATATCTTGTACCATATTAAGATTAAACTAACTTAACATTTAAATGATACACAGAGTTAATTTCTATGTAATTCCTGAGATGCATTTATCATATTAATAAAATAGCAATTCATATTGATGTTGACTATAGGCTTTGTTGTGATCCTAATGCAGCATATATGTACCCCCTCTTATAGCCTATGAACAGCCAGAAGATTTTCCTTCTCAAAAACTTTAGGCCTTTTAAAAATATTTTAAGGCAGCTTCTAGTCTCTTTGTTAACCTTAAAGGCTGTTCTTAGGTCTTCTATAGATAACAGTAATGCTTCCCAGCGGAAAGATCACAAATAAGATAGTTATAAAGAAGGATTTCTTATTCTCATATTACTGGTTTTAAAGAGAAACCATTGCAAGTTTTGTACTCTGATTAGTAATAATTTTAGTGATGAGAATTTACGCTTCCATAGACTGTTCCTGCAGGTGGTGTTTCCTGCAGATGTACAGGAGGATGTTAATTAGGTGAGCAATTTCTGAGGCTCACACGTGGAGAGATGGAAATCATTTCCTTATGATAATATTCAAGGCTATAGGGACATCTAGTGCAAGGAAATTTGACTTACTTTGGAAAGGATTACGAAGATCACGAGTGCACCAATAATGTAGATAGAGAGCAGTGATACAACAGCTATCAGGAGGCTGTGTGGTTCCTTCATTTCTTTGTTAATTACAAAAACAGGAAGAGCCACAGTCACTATTGAAACATATTATTGCAAATACATACATAAAGTATAACTGGAGCTACAAGTGTTAGAGGCGAAACATGAACTGCTCTGCTTGGCTCTTCTTTTTTTTTTTAAGATTTTATTTATTTATTTGAGGGAGAGAGAGTACAGGAGCAAGGGCAGTGGGAGAGGGAGAAGCAGACTCCCCTGCTGAGCAGGGAGCCCGATGTGGGGCTCGATCCCAGGACCCTGGGATCATGACCTGAGCCGAAGGCAGACGCTTAAAGACTGAGCCACCCAGGCACCCCTTGGCTCTTCTTTAAACATTATTCAGCGTCTCTTGATTCAGAAGACCCTCAAGCATGTGGTAGAATTAAAAGCAGTTCATCAGTTCTTTAAATATGTTATACCAAAATTGTTACTCATTTTGAAAACTAAAAAAATTTTAAATTCAATTAATTACTTACAATGCTCAGAATCACTTTTTATAGAACACATTATTTGAAGTTAGATAAACATTTTAGGACAGTTTGTTCAAGGACATTTAAAATTTCTTTTGATAGAAATGATGTACAAGGGTCACCAACAGTCTGTTCGTGGAGTTAAGATATTTTTGCCATGTATTTGTGAATGCTGACATTTGTAACCTTGACCTGTTTCGTATAAACAACGAATAGTGCAGTCTGTACAAGGATCTGAGAAGGCCATATGTGGAGGATCTTAGGGCTTACTACACCTTTAAACGACAGGCATTGTTACACATGCCCCTTCTTTCTTTCTTTCTTTCTTTCTTTTTTTTTTTTTTAAAGATTTTATTTATTTATTTGAGAGAGAGAATGAGAGACAGAGAGCACGAGAGGGAAGCGGGTCAGAAGGAGAAGCAGACCCCCTGCTGAGCAGGGAGCCCGATGTGGGACTCGATCCCGGGACTCCAGGATCATGACCTGAGCCGAAGGCAGTCGCTTAACCAACTGAGCCACCCGGGCGCCCCAACACATGCCCCTTCTTTCTAATAAAGTTTTGGAAGTAGAATTATTGAATCCATTTTCACATTCTGAATTTCTCCCTCCTTGTAGGAAGTGTCCCATGCTCTGGGTGGGGATAGAGCAACATGCCATGTCTTCTATTACCTGATTATTTGAGGCACAAAATACAATTAGATTTGTAATTATTATGTGAACAACTTGTACTTTTCAACGAAATATCCCATAGATGCTCATCCTGTGAACTCAGTTTGTACAGCATACATTTTTGTAACAAATTAACCATATCTGTAGAATTTTTTTAAAAAGTTTCAAGTGCTAAATTAGGAGTTCTGTAGAAGAGGCAGGAAATCGCTGTGTCTGTCTTAGTAATACTTCCATTTCTGCTCTTAGAGAAGAATCTGTCTTCACATGAACTTGCAGTCTTGAGACCTTTCATCTCTTTACAAACTATTTTTGGTTTTGGCTAACATTTTTTATAGAAGACTAATACAGGTCTCCAAAGTTGTTGTATATTTGTTTTAATATCTGTAGCTGACATTTATTTAAGCATACTTGCTATAAGCCAGGCATCATCAAAAGTTTTATATGTATTAACTCATTTATAATTTATCTTATGGGTGAGAATAAACTAAGGTTAAATGACAATGGGATACCAAAAGCCCATTAGAACACCCCTAGTAATTAAAAGCAGGAATTATAATACAGGATGATCTCGGGTCCCTAAAGTCCTATTTTAAAGTGGTAGGGCTGGTTGATTTTGAGTTAATGTTTTAATGATTTCAGTGCTCATCGTACCAGAGTCCTTTTTAATGGAAGAGATCCAAAAAAGTCAAGGACTATTTCCCTTCTCTTCTTTCCCCCAGAATTGTGTGAAGCTTTTTTCCTGAAATTTCTCGATTTTTTGATTTATAGGATGTAACTGGGTTCAAGACCCTCACTTGAATGAGGAAATTGTCATAGGTTTTAGCAAATCTCAAGAAGTCAGCGTCACACAGCTCTCTTTCTGTTTTTCTGTCCGTGTAGAATGGGTGGGGTCAGAGGTCCCCCAGTGGCTTCTCCTCAAATTTGTGTTTATTCTCCATACTGCCTTTTTTCCCCCCCACAGGTCCAATTTATTGGTCACTTCTGCTTTGTTCTAGATAGTGCAATGCCAGCCCAGTTCCCGAACAAGCTGCTCGCTAATCATCCCAAGTTTCCCTTTGGACTTGGCACATTACCAGTCACTGTCATTCACAGAAGGAGGACCTGCTGGCCAGCCTGCGCTAGTAGTGTCTGGGCACAGAGAGACAGCCCTGACTTTGTGTCTGTGGAGGCTGGGAGATGGGACTGGAGTAGTGCTTCAGTGTCCTGTCAGCTTGTGTCAGATCACGCCCTTCACTGGCTAGGGTGTTGAGTTAGCACATCTGTCCCTTCATCTCTGCATATAAGTAACGTAATGCATTCAAAGGGCTGAGCAAAGCCTCGGCTGACTGACCTCTTACCACCAGTATGGTCCCTTCTCCGGTCCGCTTAGCTCCCGGTTCCTTTGACTTGGGAAAGACGATTCCACAGATGTAGATGGCGCTGTCATTCAGAGCCACCCTGTTTACAGTGAGGGAGACTGCTCTTTCTGTGAGGACTTCCTTCACTGTGAATTTGCCTGCATCCCCGGTGCAGCCATCCACGCATAGGTTTTCGGGCTGGTCCGCACCGTAGCGAAACCACAGGCTTTGTGGTTGCTCTGAAGGGCACCCCGTGTGGGAGAAGGAACACTGAATGGTTGCGGCCCCTTGAGTGTGGGCTACTTCGAGGTAAGGCGGTTGATGGACAAAGACCATACACTCATGTGTAGCACCTGTGGGAGGAAGCGCACGAGCCATGTTTAGGGGGCTTCTCACTTCCCTTTGCCTGTGCTTCTGTTTTACTGACATTTGGGGGCTAGGGAACTCCAGAGTCCTTTCTTTTCCTTACCGCTTCCCAGCACAAACAAGACTATACTAATAAGACAGCAGTGGTCCTCACTTTTCCTAACCCCTCGCACTCGCTGACCTTACCCTGCTGTCGGCTATGATGTCTGGTTACTTGAGGACAGAGAGGTTCCAGTAGAGTCAGCGTGGCGGGCAGAGGTGGCAGCAGATCTGGAGTCAGGAACTGGGGGACCCCAAGTTTACTCTTGGTGACCTTATAAGCTTTCCCTTGATCGCTAAGCATGCTGTCCCATCTGTACCCCCGGCCTCCCAGGAGCCTTGTGGTCAGTGCGGTAACCTCATGCAGGTGTCGCTGCTGACTGAGCACAGGAGTGAAGGGATTTTCTTTTTCTTTGGCCTTGTGAGGGTTGGGATTGCTAGGAATTCATGGCAATTCACAATTACTCCTTTGTAAGCCTGGTTGTCCCTACAGGACACATAAAAGACAAGGTGCACACCTGGGGAAATACAGCCCTGGCTTAGCCTCCAGCATATTTGGTTACCAAGCCGAGACCTAATGAGTTAGCCATGCCACAGTGAGCAGATTTGATTTCTTCCCTGCACCAGCACCCTGCTTTGTAGTCCCTGGTAGCTTCTGTCTCGTTTGATGAACAGTGTTGTGATAAAGAGCACAGACTTGAGTTCAGATCCTAGCTTTGTGGTCTGTAGCAAAGTGGGGATAGTATATGCAGCTCAAGGAGTTAGTGGGAGGTTTAAGTGCATAAGGAATACTTAGTTGGCTAAGCCTTGATAAGAATTTAATAAAAGGTAGCTAGTTCTGCTGCCGCGCTTGTCTCCACTTCTCCTGTTCCCATGGTGTCACGTGCCCGTTTTAGGGATAATCATGGGTATCTCAGCGGGTGTCTCAGCGGGCGTTGGCAGGCCCAGGACTAGACACCCCGTCCAGTGCTCTCTCTGCCGAATGCTTCATCCAGATTATGCCGCCTGGGTCCCCACCTTGGCCTTCTAATCCCAGGCCCGTGAGGTGGAAAGCCACTCTGAGGTTTACAGATGGGGAGATCTGCCCTAAACCCTTTTTGGGGTAAGGGAGGGTCTACGTAAAATAGTATTGGTTGAGACAAATTGGAATTTATGCAAGTTTTTAGTTTGACTTCTGCCTGGTTATGTGTTTGTACTTCTAATGGGGCTACCTCTGAGTAGGAGACATGAGGCTGTATTTACCAGACTTAGAGGAGTGAGTCCAATCCCTCACCTGCAGACGAGTGAGGAGCCTTCTTTGGAATGTGTTCCAAATGGTCTTATTTGTCTGAGTTTGTCCTTTGCTACTCTAAATGAAATTGAAAAGTAATCCAAGTGGTCTGATGCTTGAATTTCAGACAAGATTTTTGTTTTGTTTTTTGACTTAATGGTTTTCTTAGTCTTCATCCAGAACCAGAAGATAAATTAAAATTAGAATCATGGCATTTGTGATGCAGATATATTCTCCCCATGTTTTAATTTTAGTATATGTACGATCTGAGATGAGCTGGGAGTTTTTTGATGACCTGATAAATATAGACCAGAGGAGAGGGTAAGGTCACCTGGAGAAAGACCAGCAGGCTCCTCACTCGTCTGCAGGTGAGGGATTGGACTCACTCCTAAGTCTGGTAAATACAGCCTCATGTCTCCTACTCAGAGGCAGCCCCATTAGAAGTACAAACACTTTGCAAGTTATGATCAATATATATTGGGGGTTTCAAATGGAGTTGGGCCTGCCAAGATCTAACAGTTAACCAATAGCATCTCAGTCTGAAGTCCTTTTTCAGATAGTCTTTTTTTTAAAAGATTTTATTTATTTATTTGAGAGAGAGAGAATGAGAGAGAGAGAACACCTGAGAGGGGATAGGGTCAGAGGACGAAGCAGACTACCTGCCGAGCAGGAAGCCCGATGCGGGACTCGATCCAGGGACTCCAGGATCATGACCTGAGCCGAAGGCAGTCGCTTAACCAACTGAGCCACCCAGGCGCCCCCTTTTTCAGATAGTCTTAAAAGGGAAGCTGACTTAAAAATTTTGGAGAACTAATGTTCCAGGGAAGAAGAAATATTTGCAACTTTGGAGTTTCATGTCTCCACTTCCAACTTCTGAGTGTCAGAGAAGAGCGGTCAAGGACTTCCTTTGAGAGTGCTGACGGGTTGAGGAAACGCCTGCCCCTCCCCCACACCAGTGACACAGCCTCTTCGCCAAAGAGAGAAGTTTGGGTAATGGGTCACACCAAGCCTAGTCCTGCAAGAATTTCTCTTTAAGAATTCTCTTACCCTATAGGATTCTTTTTTTTTTTTTTCCCAATGCAGTATGCTCTGCAATGGCTGAAAGTTTATCTTCTTGGTGGAGGGAATAAAAGAAAGATCACTTTAGGGGCACCTGGGTGGCTCAGTTGGTTAAGCGTCTGACTCTCGATTCTCTCTCTCCCTCAGTCCCTCCCCCACCCCCCTCTTAAAAAAATCACTTTACTGTGATCCAGGCTGGAAAATAAATAGAAAACTGATTTTTGACACTTCATCACATGGAGAATTTCAAGCATGCGCAGAAGCAGCAGGCTAGCACGGTGAACTCCCTGCTGCTTGTTGCCGCAGTCTTGTCTCGCCTCTCCCCGCACCTGCTCCTTCACCGCCCCCAACCTGCTCCTTCACTCCCACATGATTTTTGGGTAAATCTCAGATATTCTATCTTCATATCTGTCAGAGTAGATCTTTAAAAAATAAGGATTCTTTTTTAAAATAATACTAATGAAAATAGTTTATGGAAGTCATTTATATGGATTAGGAAAAAAAATCAGAATATTACTGAAATCAGGGCGCCTGGGTGGCTCAGTTGGTTGGGTGACTGCCTTCGGCTCAGATCATGATCCTGGAGTCCCGTGATCGAGTTCCGCATCGGGCTCCCTGCTCGGCGGGGAGTCTGCTTCTCCCTATGACCCTCCCCCCTCTCATGTGCTCTCTCTCATTCTCTCTCTCTCAAATAAATAAATAAAATCTTAAAAAAAAAAGAATATTACTGAAATCACTCATAGTCCTTGTGCTCAAAATAACCATTGTTAACATTTTGATATATTTCTTTACAGATGAGAAAAAAACAATTTTAAGAGCTTTTGCTACCTTCCCTGTCCTATGACACAGACTCTGTGAGCAACTCTGAGATTATTAGCTTTATTACAACTATGATGAGATGGGTTATTAGAACCACTTTCTCCTTCATAGAGGAAAAAGTATAAGCAGAATTTTAAAAATATATCTATCATGGGACGGTTATGCTCTATGGAAGGAGCCATGGCAGCTTTTTTTTTTTTTTAAATGACAGGTACTTTTTAATTTACCGCAATCTGGCTTTTCAGACACCTTATTCTTTGAAAATATTCAGTAAGTACTGTGTAGTGCCTATCCTGTGCAGTGCGCATTTGCCCGTACAGATACGACATTGTTGTGACTAGCACACGCGATTTTAAGAACATTTTCAACCCTTTGTTTGGTGAGGTGCTCTGCTTTAAAGCATCAAAGGGAATTTTCAAGGTTAATCTGAAACTTCCTCAGCTATTCTTTTATTACACTATTTGTCTTGGGAAAAGAGACCATTTCCATAGCATTAGACATTGAAAAATTAATCTGTAGGGGCTTAAAATATAAATGCATTAGTGAGGAATAGTGATTGATTAGATAAAATGGAGGAGAAAAGAAAGAATCTTACCGACATAAAAGAGAATCAGATTGATTTCCAGGCCGAGAATGATCCTGCCTCCCTTCACAGTCTCCATTTCTTGGGGTGTGTGCGTGCGGTGGTGGTCACTGTGCATTTGAGGAGAGTTGGCTCTTTTTTTTCTGTCTCTTTAGAAAAGGAAGAACTGAAGAGAGGAACTCTTATTAAGGAACCATAACCGGGAACTTTTTGAAATTGTGTAAAAAATTGTTTGTAATCCAGTTTCACCACTTAAGAGTTGAGGTTTTAGCCTAGAGCACATTTCTAAATATCCATATGGTTAATTTTTTCTTGGGCTTGTAGATGTTTTGAGGGAGATTTTGATTTACACATAGTGTGTATGCCCAGGAAAGAGTATTGTTTGACAGGTTATTGGTACTTTAAATTTCCAGAGTAGTTCAGTTGCTGATGCTGGGGCACCTACTGTGTGCTCAGTGCTGGGCCAGTAACACTGGAAAGCTGGAAGAAGCAGAAGGAGGTGTCTTCATGTAGTGAGGAGAGAAAAATTAGTGACCAGTACATCGTGGTACAATGAAGAAACGTGTGGCATTAGCGAGTTGTACCTCAGATTTGTGTAACCCCTTGTTACTCTGTTGTTGAAACCAAGTGTGGGCCCTCTGTCGTGGTTCCCTCTTGCCCCCTCTCCTGCCCTGCGGAGATCTCATCGTCAGGTTCTTCCCTGGAAGCAGCAGAAACGGACTCTGGCTGACTTCAGTGAGGGAACTGAAAGGATTCGAGGGTAGCTCACACAGTCACGGGAGGCTTGGAGAATCACGTGTGGGGTCTCCAGCCAAGACAGACGCCTCAGATCATGCTGTACAACTGATCGGAAGGGTGTGCTGCTGCTGCCAAGCACTAGGGACCGTGGCACGGACCACACTCTGCTGTTCATACCACCTGATGCCGCCCCAGCTGCGTGGTCTCGTGGTCACTTCTCTGGGTCACTTGCTCTTCATTCCACGTGTCAGGCGAGTGTGTCCGAGCATAGGTCATGTGCCAGTGCCTGCCTTCGCTGCCTCTCCGACACGATTCTAGGAAGAGGGTTCAGGTGCTGGGCCACCAAGAGGAGCGACAGATCTTTCCACTGTAGTGTCTGGACTCTTGGCACCTATTGATGATGTCTTTTCTCACAGAAAGCCACTCTCTGTCTGAAGTTAGTAATACTTTTAACATGTGTGCATTTTTTTAACATCACAAGTCCTAAAACCACCCCAGAATTGACATATACCATTACCTTTGTGTCCACGTGTCTGGACCCAATGCCTGGTGTGAACTTGAAGGCCTGAAGACCTTATCCAGGCGCCTCCACCCCCATTCCACAGGCATGTGACGCTCATGGGCTTGGAAGGGACAGATTCAGACTTCAGGCACTAGTCCAAAAAATGCTAGGCTGACGCGTCCGTTCTAGTGCTCTACCTTTCTCTGGTTTTGGAGCTTAACTTTTATAAAAGTGTTATGAAAAGTTAGGGAGTGGATCACCTTCCCTTGAAAAACACACCGATGATCTGTCTTTATAAATTAAAAGCCTTCATTAGTCTATTTTCAGCCTGATAAACCTTTCTAGTTAATACATTGCATACATTTACTACATCATGGGTATATTTTCTTGCATTTATCCCTAAACCTTCTTTCACATTTTATGGGTAACTCTCTGCTTCCATTTTCCTGTATTTAATGAGGAGTTCTCCAAAACCATGAACACTGACAACCCAGTTGGTCTAATGGAGGGTAATATCTAAAACTGTCAGAGAAGGTAAAAGTATGGGCTTTGGATCCAGATAAACCTGGGATTACATTTCTGCTCTTATCCTCACTAACCTTGCAGGCTTGGGCGAGTTCCTCAGCCCTCTGCGTCCATACTTCATCTCTTTGTCCTCCTCAGAGGGTATCGGGGAGATGAGTCATCGAAGCACCCAGTGCTTGGCACATACCAAGTCCTTGGCAAATGTTGTTCTTCCTCCCTTCTCTCTTTGAATAACTTGTTTGTTCAAGAATTTAACTTAATGTTTCTATTTGTTTTAGTAGGTGGCAAGTGGGAGAAACCATCAGAAATTTTAGAAATCAAGGGACAGAATTGGGAAGAACAAGTGAATAGTCTGCCTGAAGTTTTCAGAAAAGCTGGTTTTGTTATTGAAGCTTTCACCAGACTACCATACCTGTGTGAAGGCGACATGTATAATGACTACTATGTTCTGGATGATGCTGTCTTTGTTCTCAAACCAGTATAAACACGTGGAGGCCCGAGTCTTCAGCGCCCACCCCAAGAATGTACACTCCAGAAGAGGGTCTGCGTTTGTGATTATGTGAAGGGAGGACCTTTGGGGACTGCCATTCTGAATATCATGTAGGAATTTAAAAAGCCAAAATACTAATTATTTCTTTGTAGTGTGTAAAAGGAATGTTTTTAAAAAACAAAACCCAACTCTTTGAGGATTTTTATCAACTCTTTACTCAGTATACAGGTCACACTCCAAGTATGGAAGATATTTTTTATACTTAATTACAGTAGGGACTCATTCCCAGTCAAAGCAATAGTCACGACCTCACATGGAACCAATAAATACGGATGATTGTTTTTAATAAAATGAAGACTGGCAATAAAGCTGTCCGTTCAGTTGCAAATATTTGGTTATAAGGTATAGCCACTGATACTCTTTCATGTTTAGAAATTCTTTGTCATTATTCAAAAAATGTTTTTAATCACGCTAATAAACTTTTTTGGAGATGACTCTGGCATCATGTTTGAGTTAATATAAGGCTTCCTTCCCTAGGATCTTTTATTGCTTTGGCTTCAGGGGTGCCCAAATAGGAGCAGTATGTGACAAATGCAGTCAGGACTATGTTACTGGGTGGGAGCCAGGGGATTATTGCAGACTGGTGAGCCCTGAACCGAGGCAGTCTAGACCAACCCTTGGAAGAACAACCTCATTCAGATCTAGTACTTCAGGGGCCACCCCCCGTTCCCCATTTCATGTTGCTTTGGGAAATGCAAAACACTGGCTTCTGAATTCTGCTTTTCTGGATAATCTCAGGTTCTCAGAATTGGAACATTTGATGGTGGCTGCTGACAAAATGCAGCCTCAAAATGTTTTAATTCCACTTCTTACTCTACACGTGTATACCTCTTTCCCAGAACCTGGTTCTTCCTGAAATCCGTAACTGAGTTTATTTGCCAAGAATATGGATTGATGAAGACCCTGTCAGACTCCTACATTCTAGAATCCATGAGTGCCTCCAGCCATATACCCCCAAATGTTGCAATAGAGGAACTCATTAGCAAGATCAATAACCACTGTGCATATTCCAAAGAGAGCAGAGCACTTAACCCAGAATCTAAAATCTCAGTAATAACAGAGGCGCGGATTTGAGATTGTGGTTATTAACAATATGTTATTCTCATGACTTTATTTCTTTTTTTCAGCCAGGTGTTTCATTAAATATTCTCATTTATATGCTCATAGAAGTCATCAAGTCAACACGTTTACTGCAACACCTGGGTATAAAGGAGAATGAAAGCCTTGAGAAGAATTACTTTATTATTACATTCCCACATCCTCACACCAATATCTTCCACTGTTATTGTGTTGTCATAAGAAGAGTTGGGTTATATGATTTATGCAAAATTGTTATTGGTGCATTCTAGTGCTTTTTTTCCTCCCAGGAATTCAAATAAGTGAAATGCGAATACTTAGCACCCTGGATTATAAAAATAGAGGAAATGAGTAAACTTAATGTCGTTCTTCAACAGTTGAGTTTTGTTTCTTTATAAACTGTCATAATCTTGCTGTTTAGACTGTCGAACAAGAGTGCAAGAGTAATGGATGTTCAAAGAGGCAGGTTGCTGCAAAGTGTTTCATAATTTTGAAATCAAGAATTAATCTGATGGTCTATTAAAAAAAAACCCTCGCTTCTTTATCCCCCCAAAAAGCAGAGAAAGCACACTCATTTATGCATTTCAGAGATACAGATAGTTTCTCAAAATCAGGTTCTCTGAAGACCAATATACTAACAGTTCAGTTTTAGGATGAAAATTTAAACCAGCAAATCCTAGCACATTTGATACTTGGTCTTGAAAGTCTTGGTGGTGTGTGGCCACTCCACTAGGTGGCAGTGTTGCTTACTGAGTGTCAATGGCTTCCGCCCCCCACCCCCCAATGGAATCCTGTTTTTTTCCCCAAAGTACAATAAAGCTGCCTTCTTGTCTGCACCAGTCTTCGTGTAAGTGCTTCATATCAAATTTAAGGTTGTGCTGGAGAAATTAAGAGGAGCTCTATTTGTGGTCAAAGCAAGTTAACCTATTGACCTGGAAGGTCACGGGGAAAGGCAAGGCAAGCTGCACCTGTGATTCACAGCCCCTTGCACCTGCAGCACGAGCCCCTTGAGTGTTGAGCCACTGGTTGCAGAGACGGGAAGGAGAGAAGGTACAACACCCTCAGTCATTTCTCCCTTGTGCAGAGTAGTTAAAAGCGACAGTGTATTTTGCCCTTCTATATGTCTTACCAGTTTCTACGCAGTTGACCTTTAACAGCAAAGAAGCTGGGCTGGGAAATAAACTGAAACTTAGTTGTTTCAAGTCATCTTTCTGATTAAAACTTTGTTTTCCCTTAGATCTGAGTACAGCGTTGAAATAGACTCGTTACTGAAGATGTTTTCATCAATTGCTTCCTACTACTTGGTTACTGATTGAAGTGTTTCATGGTCCTTTTCTCTAACAACTACAGCACATATTCAACATGGACTTCCAGTGGCTGAAGTGATCCCCCACGTTTGTGCAGATGGCTGTGTACCCCCAAATTCGCTTCTAGCCAGTGCCTCCATATTACAGCTGGAAGACCCTGCGCCGAGTCGGGGCTGTCTGGTCTGACTTGCACTACCTAGGCACCCACTGAGCACATACTTGGCTTAAAATTGACCTGAAATGGGATGCTCACAACCTTACAACCAACTTAAAAGATAAAATGGCAGGAATTGGCAGAAGGAAGTTCACATTGTACCCACGCTAAGAAACATTTGTTCGTTACCTAAGTGAAAATATGCACCCAGAATTATTAAGGAAATATTGCCGCAATATAAAATTCAACAGCCTGCCTTTTTGCAGTTAGTGGATGATGAGGCAATAGGCCACAGTGAACGGCACAATAAAAATTAAAATTTCATATCTACTGTAGCTATGTATAGGCATTCATATTTTGCTGCTTCCTTTATCAATTCTAATATATTTGTGTTGTCTTTGTCTACTATGTAGGAATTAATTTGAACTTTTTTAAGTTGTCACTTGCTCTTTAAAAATTTATTTTTAAATAAATTTTTATTTTCATATAATGTTAGATTTGGAGAAATCTTACGGAGATAGCACAGAGAGTTCCTGTACACCTTTTACCTCGTTTCCCTAATGTTAACGCTTTATGTAGCCGTGGTGTTTGTTAACACTAAGAAATTAGCATTGGTATATTAAGTAAACGCCAGTACTGGGATTTTGCCCATTTTCCCATTAATGAACTTCTTCTGTTTTAGGAGCCAATTCAGAATATCATATCCCATTTAGTTGCTTACTTTAAAAATTATTAGGGGCGCCTGGGTGGCTCAGTTGGTTGAGCGTCTGCCTTCGACTCAGGTCATGATCCCGGGATTCCGGGATCGAGTCTCGCGTCAGGCTCCCTGCTCAGCGGGAAGTCTGCTTCTCCCTCTGCCCTTCACCCTGCTTCTCCCTCTGCCCTTCACCCTGCTTGTGCTCTGTTGCTCTCAAATAAATAAATAAATAATTATTAGTGTTTGCTGACATGACCCCATTATTTATCTTCCAATTTTTTTTAAGTTGTAGTAAAATAAACATAACAAAATTTACCACCTTAGTCATCTTTAGGTGTACAGTTCAGTGGTATTTAGTACATTCATACTGTGCAACCATCACCGTCTATTTTTAGAACTATTCATCTCGTAAAACTGAAACTCCGTGCCCATTAACGACTTCCCATTCCCCCTTCCTCCAGCCCCTGGAAGCCACCATTCTGTTTTCTATGAATTTGACTACTCTAGGTTGCTCATGTATGTGGAATCATACAGCATTTGTCCTTTTGTGACGGGGTTATTTCACTCAGCATAACGTTCTCAAGGTTCAGCCACGTGGTAGCATGTGTCAAAATTTCTTTCCTTTTTTTAAAAAAGTATTTTTTTTTTAAAGATTTTATTTATTTGACAGAGAGAGAGAGAGACAGCTAGAGAGGGAACACAAGCAGGGGGAGTGGGAGAGGGAGAAGCAGGCTCCCCGCCAAGCAGAGAGCCCGATGCGGGGCTCGATCCCAGGACCCTGGGATCATGACCTGAGCCAAAGGCAGACGCTTAACGACTGAGCCACCCAGGTGCCCCTTTAAAAAAGTATTTTATTTATTTATTTGACAGATATAGCGAGAGAGGGAACACAAGCAGGGGGAGTGGGAGAGGGAGAAGCAGGCTCCCCGCCGAGCAGAGAGCCCGATGCGGGGCTCGATCCCAGGACCCTGGGATCATGACCTGAGCCAAAGGCAGACACTTAACGACTGAGCCACCCAGGCACCCCCTTTTTAAAAATTTTTTAATTCCAGCATAGTTAGTTAGCATATAGAGTTATATTAGTTTCAGGTGTACAGTATAGTGATTCAGCAGGTCCATATATCACCCAGTGCTTGTCAAGAGAAGTGCTTTCACTTCTTTTGAGTATATGCTCAGAAGTGGAACTGCTGGTTCATATGGGAATTCCCTGTTTACTTTTTTTAGGAATTGCCATACTGTTTTCCACTGCACCATTTACACTCCTAACACTGCACAGGGTTCCAGTTTCTCCACATTCTTCCAAATGCTTGTTCTTTTCTGTTTTTCTTCATAAGTAGCCATCCTAGTGGATGTGAGGTGTTATCTCATTGTGGGTTTGATTTGGATTCCTTATGATTTGTTTTTATAGCACAACTTGTATGCCATTGGGTTTCATTTACTAGTAATTTGTGCTTTGTGGCTCGCTATTTATATTGATATCACTGAATTGGAATCCGTGCTCACTGATATCAAAGTGCTTCTTTTTAGCTATGACATTTTATACTTTTGGAGAATTAGGAGAGTCCTGTTACATAACTAGAACTTAAGATTTCCCTCTGGATTTTAGAGTCAGTATGCTGTAGTCTCATGAACTAAAAAACAGTATTTTTGTTACAAGACCATTTAAAAATCATTTTGAATATATGCAAAAATGAAAGGATTTACCCCCCCCCAAATAAATGACCATGTAAAATTGGAATGCCTTATACATCTACACTTCTTAAGTTCTGGAAAATAATTAAGAGCAGGTACAATGCCCGAATGTTGTTTTCTTATAGCCTGTTTAGAAGTCAACACAGAATATTGTGTTTTGTTTTGTTTTCAGAATATTGGTTTTAAATACCCTTCAACTGACCTCAACATTTTTCAAATGGTAGAGTTGAGGTGGTTGAGAATACATTGGCAGTCCTTTTTATACTCAGCAGAACAAAACAGGTTTTCCTACACTTGATTTTGCCACCATTTTTTTTTTTTTTAGTTTTAAAAATTTAATTTTAATTTTTTAATGTAAGCTCCATACCCAACATGAGACTTGAATTCACAACCCCAAGGTCAAGAATCACATGCTTTACCAACTAAGCCAGCCAGGCACCCCTGCTGCCTTGTTTTTATTATTTATAACATGGCTGTGACTGATCATAAAGCCCTACTGGCTTTTGCATTATAAGTAACATGTTTGTTATAGACATAGTAGAAATACACAGAGGTGAAAAGAAGAAAGTGCAAATAAACTTCACCTAGCCTACAACCCTGAGAGAACCAGTATTAACATTTTAGTATATGCCCTTTCAGACTTTTTCTACACACGTAGGTACCTCCCCCCCCACATTTATAAACTTTTAACATTAAAAAAAAGTAAAAATGAAAAGATACTCTTATCCTTCCAGGATGAATCATGTGAAACTCATAGACACCTGTTTTCTAAATCAAAACTTGACAAAGGATGAAAGACATTTCCCATCATTTAAGGCTTGAGAGTGAGCTTCTTGTTTAAAGGATTAAACCAAGAGCTGGGGATAAAAGAATTTTTTTTTTTTTTGAGAACACTAAACACTAATATTATATAAATATTGACCGGATGAGCAACAGAACAGTACAGGTGGCCATTTCTTTCTTTTTTTTAAGACTTTATTTATTTGACAGAGAGACACAGCAAGAGGGAACACAAGCAGGGGGAGTGGGAGAGGGAGAAGCAGCCTTCCCGCTGAGCAGGGAGTCAGATGTGGGGCTCTGTCCCAGGGCCCTGGGATCATGACCTGAGCCGAAGGCAGATGGTTAAAGACTGAGCCACCCAGGTGCCCCTAGGTGGTCATTTCTGAAGACAATCTCTAATTTTGCCAATGACAAAATAATGTCGGCATTAGGCATTTTAACTATTTTAAAAAGTTCAGGTACTGAGATGTGTTTTGTTAAATATGAAGGATTGCAAGGAAATCTCTAGAATTCACAATTCTATTTTCACTAGAAAAGAGGTAAAAGTTATGCATAATCCCAAACCGTAACACTTCGATCAACTCCCTTCCAGTTTTAATAAAAGTGCATATTACTTAATATTTGACTTTTTGTGGTTCTTCCTTGTGTTACTATTACATGGTCTTTGTTAATGCCCATTTTAATGGCTATGTAACCCATAGAGTTGCTGTATCACACTTGATGTAACCATTTCTTTATTGGTGTACACTTACACTGGGTCTTTTTCTACCACCACTTGCTGTGTGTGTATATACTTAATGCTGGGGCAGTAAATATTTTGGTGCACGAGCCTTTTTTAACTTGGGAGGAATTTATCTTTTTCCCTTCAGACAAATCAGGTCACATTTACGGACCAACCGGTCTGAACATATTCACAGTTCTTATTATTCAAAAAAAAATTTCATTATGGACAAATCCCAAGCTCTTAAAAAGGAAGAAAGGTAATAATTACCCCTCTTCACTGGCTTCAACGATTATCCACGCATGGCTCAATCTTGTTTTACCTAGGCTCCTGCCGCTTCGGGACCCCTTTACTTCCAAGCAAATCCCAGACATCATGTTTCAGTTTTGCAGACATATATCTACAAAAGAGAAGGACTTTTAAGAGAACCACATTACAATGCTCACACCTAAAAAACTTCACCTTTGCCTATCCAGTGACCACACTGCTCCAACTGTCATAATTTTTAACAGTCTGTTTGCATCCGGATCAAATAAAGTCCCACGTTGCAAGTGGTGGCTCTATCTTTTTTTTTTTTTAAAGATTTTATTTATTTGATAGAGACACAGTGAGAGAAGGAACACAAGCAGGGGGAGTGAGAGAGGGAGAAGCAGGCTTCCCGCCGAGCAGGGAGC